AAAAAAACCCAAGAACATATTAATTCAGAACATATTATATAGTGCAATTTGGACAGTCTAACCCCAAAATATATAATATATATATATAAATATATATATATATAAATAAATAACTATAAAAGTATAAATCGTAAATATTAAAAATATTTTTCACAGTATATATAAATATATAATAATATAATTAAGTAAAAAACTATTCAATATTGGACTCATTTCGAAGGTATTAAAGTGACGATTATAATGATGTAACTTGTTAAAATAAAATTTTATTTTTTAAACATATTTTAATTGATATACGATTATGTATATTAATTCGATAAAGGTTTAAAATGAAACTTTTAAAAGTAAAGGATATAAAGTAAATTAATTAACTAATTATAGGGGTATAAAGTATAAATTCAAAATTATAATTTTAAAAAAATCCGTTATGATAGGGTGAGTGTATGTGAGGGGTGAGTACATGTGAGGAGAAGAGGAGGTGAAAAAGTGTATAAATGGTATCTTAGTCATTTAGTATTTTAAGACTTTTGGTAAATTTGCTTTATAAGATAGTATAGAAATATAGATAGATATAAAAAGAATAATAGAATTCTTAATTCTAAATAACCAATAACTAATAACTAATACTAATGAATAATTGCAACTAATTTATATTAATTAATCAACCAACTGAAGTAATTAATAAACTGAATTAATATTAATTAATAACTAATATTAGTTAATACTTAATAGTAATTTTTATTAACATTTAATAATAATAAAAAATAAATAAATAATATTAATCAAGTTTATAATTGAAAAAATAGGCAAAAAAACTACTAAAAGGCTACTCCATCTAACATTTCAATAAATTAGTTTATGTTTATTGAAACATGTAATTAAAAAAATAAGCTAACTTATAAACACCTCATGTTGATATAATCCATATTCCATTCAATCAAATTTATTCCCTTCAATAACGATATTTTATAGGTATGTAGCAGGAGGTGTAAATAATAAGGTTAAATATTGTGAGAATGTATAAAGGGAATGCTTAAAAAAATTCATTTGAAGATGCATATATGAACTACGGCTGACAACAAGTAGGGCATGGATAGGGTAAGGGTTATTCCATTATACAATCCATTTAAAATAGCGGGTAACGAAACGAGTAATTATTCATCTCATAAATCTATTATCCATATACCCTACCTATTAAAATAGCAGGTAATGAAAGGGGTAATGGATAAATGATAAAACCAAATTCCATTTTGAACTATAAATAATATTGTTATTCAATTAATTTCCAATCTCGTCTTATTTCTCATTTAGTTATCATGAACTCTTTTACTTGATAAATATATAAAGAATTATATTTGATTTTTTAAATAATTTTATTATATATATATATATACATATATATTAAATTTAAATAATAATATACAAATAAAATTAATTGTGCAATTTAAAAAAATGGATGCTCAAAGGATGTGTTTGGTAACACTAAACAAGACAAAATAAAATAAAACATAGATCAATGTTCCTTGTTTTGTTAAACTATTACGTGGAACATATAGAAATAAAATGGAACATGCATAAAACAAATTGGAACAAACTTATATTTTATCAAATTAACCTTAAAATAAAACTTAATTCTCTTCTAAAATATCAAATACGTTTTTTTTACATTTATTCTTTTAAAAAAAATCATTTATCGTATTATATACTCTTCAAACATTCACTTTACTATTCTTAAAATATTATGTTTTATATAATTTCTATATTTTAATTAATTTATTAAATATTGATGATAAAAATATAAAACAAAAATTAAAAACTACATAAATTTTTTAAAAATTACTAATGATATATAAAATATTTATTTTATTATAATATAACAAATTACATAATTAATTAAAATATATGAATAACTTATTAAAGGTAAATTTACTCATTTTATCTATTCTCTCGTATCTTTGTTCAGTGATGCCCATTGTTCTCTCTTAGATACTTCTAAGGGTGCGTTTGGTATACAGACTACATAGGACGGGACGGGACAAAAAAAAAATAGTCTCATGTTTGACATATCATGGACAAAAAATACATGGGACAAGATAAGACTATTTTTAAATTTTATGGGACAAAACTTGATGATTTTTATTCCACCAAAAAAGGTGGAACAACATGGGACTAAGTATGATTTGACTATGTTACCCTTGTTTCAAATTGGAAAACCTAATTAGCACAGCCCCTCTTCACATCGTCTCTTCCATCATCGTCCCTTCGTCATCGTCCCTTCCACAGCCTCTTTACATCCTCCTCCACATCGCCTCTTCCACATCGGCTTTTTCCACCGGCCTCCATCGCCTCTTTTGCAATCGGTTTGATATCTCGATTTCTCCCTCTCGTTTTTTTGCTGCGCACGATTTTGCTTTGTTTCTGTTTATCGCCTCCTCTGCAATTGTTTCTTCACCAAATGGCTTAATAACACAAATTTCCTGGTATTATGTTTTTGTTATAATGAAATGTAAGATAAATTTGGTTCTAATGCAACTCAGTTTGGGTAGATGAAGCATAAGCATAAGCTTCCTGTCTTCATTTCCTGGTACAATATTTCTATCATAAGTTGCATTTGGTTCTAATGCAACTCAATTTTTAGCTAATAGATATGTCTGAAACGATCAGATAAGCATAAGCATGCCCTAGTGGTAAAAATTCTACAGCATTTAGGGGTAATATGGTCATTTTAACAGTTTTGTCCTGTCCTGTCCTAGTCGTACCAAACATGGGACAAACAATTAGTCCAGTCCCGTCCCGTCCTGTCTCGTCCTGTCCAGTCTGCGTACCAAACAGCCATAATGGAACAAATGAAAGAAGACTAAAATCATGATCACTTTAAACCAGGATTAATTTGCAATTTAATTACTTGGATTTCGGATTAAACCCACTTTCAGACAGAAGTCTTGATAGAAAGTTACGACTGTTGTCATCTTTGTCTTTGCCACTAAACCTGCTTAGAGTGCTGATTACAGACCAATGAGTCTCGAAATCTGGCTTGTACCCAAATTCTTGCATCCTTTGTAAGAGCTTTGAGGCCTTGGGAAAGTTTCTTTCAAGACGATACCTACTAACCACTGATCCAAACATCACCTTGCTTGGATGCTCTCCCATGGAGATCATAGCGTCGATTAGCTTTTCGGCTTCTGATGTTCTCCCTAATTGGCAAAGCTTTTCGGTTACAACTTCATGTGTTTTCGTGCTTGGGATCAGTTTTCTGTTCGACATTTCGGTATACAGATCAAGGGCTTCTTCCATCTTATGGGATACACATAAATCTTGAATTAAACAATCGTAGCTTGTTGAATTAGGGGTGTTTCCTTTCTTCAACATGATGTCGAGAAGATGAAAAGCTTTATCTTTTCTTCCATAACGACACATCTGTTTGATTAGATTGTCGTAGTTTATGTTTTCTGGAATAAGATCTTTAAGAATCATCTTGTCAAGAAAGTCTACAGCTTCTTGGAGCTTATTGATCTTCAAAAGACCCTCCACCACTTCATTTTGAAAAGTGGAACAATGAATCCAGCCTCTGGCTTCCATTTCTCGACTCAGTTTTAAGACTTTCTTGAACTCACCACCAGATTGAAGCAAACTGATTACTGATCGTAGACATCTGTTACTTGGTTTCAGTTCTTTAGACATCATTGCAGTCAGATACTGAAGGGATCGTGGTACAGCCTTGCACTGGGAGAATCCGTACACAAGAAAGTTATAAGTGACATTGTCGAATTCTAGTCCCTTATCTTGAATTTCATCTAAAAGAATATCGACACACGCACTGTTTCTGGAGGCGAAAAGATGGAAAATCAGGATATTATACAGAGTTAGATGTGAAGAACTCTGTTCAACCATAAGATCTTTTATCAACAAAGCAAAAGGGATTCGACCATCGTTGCACATTAGAGACACCAACTTACTGTAACTCGAAATGGAGATGGTTATGTTCTTCTTTAAGATCACCCCAACTACCTCCTTAACTTTCCTCAAGTCTTTCGCCAGGCAATACCCATGAAGCAAAACATTATGAATGTCAACTTCTAGAGAACCAGAAACACCAAGATCTGGGGCAGAATGCTTGCCCAGCATTTTAACAGACATGACAAAAGCTTCAGAAAACCGCTTCTCCTTGCAAAGCCCTTTTAAAAGATGGCTATAAGCCACCTGATCCAAGTCATATCCCCTTGCCAGAAGCTCATCGAACAAAACACAAGCAACTTTAGTGAACCCAATTCCACAAATCTTTTCAAGAAAAGCATAAGAGAGCTCCAGTACTTCATGTGGGTAAACCAGCATCGCACGCTCAAAAAGAAATAAAGCTTCCATCAGCATGTCGTTTTGGCATAACGAACAAAGGAGGGTTCTATAATCGTTCAAAGTAGGAAACCAGTTCTGATTTTCAGGTAGTTCCCAGCAATCATGAAGGTCTCTTGAATTCCCTTTCTTGCATAAACCCAATACTAGAACAGAATACGTCTTGTTTTTTATTTTCAGATTTCTCTTGACCATTTCGTCGTATATTTTCTTTGCTTTAAGTATAAAACCCCTTTTGACATGCATTTGAACAAGCAAATTGAGTGTTTCTTCGTCAAGCTCATTATGTAACTTCGGCATATTCTCCAAGAGCGTGGTGATTGTTTTAAAACTTGAATTAGATGCATGGAACTTCTTCAGTAGTGTCGAGAAAGCAGCAAAGGACAGTTCTTGGCCCCAGTGAACCAATTCAGACGCTGTTTTAGAGATATTAAGACCATCATCCTTCATTATAAGACGATTACAATCAGGAACCATTGAATTATTGAGAACGCTAGTCATAGTTTGGTCATAGTCTACTATATCACCTTCTAAATAGAGTCCATTCCCCATGCTGTCATAAAACTCAGTTTTGGAGAACCCCACATCATTATCCCTCCTAACTCTTACAGTCAATGGATCAATACCCAACAACATAAACGATATTGATATAGGATCTTGTAACGGTGAGAGTTCAATCAAGCCATTATGCACCATCTTTTCAACTATTACCTTCACCTCATCAAATTGTCTAGCTTTACAATATCCTGCTAAAAGAACCCTGAAAGTTGACATATCAGGTGTTATCCCTTCATCTTCCATTTCAAGAACAATTTCTTTGGCATGATTCCACATACCTTGCTTGAATACCCCACTAATGATAGCATTATAAGAATATCTGTGAGGTTTTAAGCCTCTAGACAAAACAATCGAGAGACAAACAAAGGCGTTTCTCAAGTTTCCTTCTTGGCAATTCCATCCAATCAATATTCCAAAGGTTATAGCATCAGGGGAAAAGCCCAAATGCTCCAATTCTTCCAGGAACACAAAGGCTTCTTCTGCTCCAAAATTTTGACATATCGAATGTATGATCTTGTTCCCAACCACCACATCGGGCACACAATCAATTTCAACAAAAAGACTCAGCAAATCACCATAATCCTGTTTCTCACAGTACCCACTCGCAATCGCATCAAGAACTAAAGAGGTGGGTTTAATTCCATAAAGAAAGGCCTTCTTAATCAAATTTCGTGATTCTTGAACTTTTTCAACTGATCTGCACAGTACTTTAACTACATTCTCATAGATATCCTTTTCTGCCACACCCATCTTTAACCCCATCTCAAGCATATCACCATACACACTAGAGATCAACTGGGTTTGATTCCTATGAACCAGATAATTAAGAAGAGTACGATAGCATGACAAGGATGGGACTAAATTTAGGGCCCTCATTCTATGATACATATTGATACTCTTTTCTAATTCATCAATACCTACATACCATTCAATCAAATTACTGAAAACTTCATGATCATCCAATAAAATTCCTTCTTTATCCATGGCCAAAAGCAAGCATTCAGCATCCTTAAACAACCCCACCTGAACCAACAATCCCACCATGACCTTGAAAGACTGATCAAGATGCTTAAAACTCCTACCTTGTTTGGTACTGGCACTAGCCCACTTAAAAATCCCCAATAAAGATCCAACCTTTTGAACATCAATTCCCAATTTCCCAGCACTAGATTCATAACCCAGTAACAGTTCAAGAACATCTTGAGGTTCTAATCGAGACTTTCTCCAAAATTTACGGGTGATTCTAGGGTTCAAATGAGACACACTAAGAAGACATTCTTCAAGAGAAGAAGCACAACTAGTCGAATGTTCAGTCCTTCTAACCAAAAGTGCAGAGCACTTATCCAGGACCGATTTTGTAAAACCAGAAACGTAAACTGAAGATGTGTCTATGTGGGATTTGTTTGATTTATGTGGCTCTATTTGTGGTTCTTGAAAGGGTGAGGAAGAACAATGTTGTTTGAGAGAGAAAAGAGCAAAGAGATGACTGACCTTTATAGAGTGGGTGCTGCGTTGAAGACTAAAGAGCATTCGATTGCAAAGAAGAATGGAAGTAGCAGCGACTGTTCTACTGGTTGTTCTTGTTCTCATCTATGAGAACGGATTTTTGGGAGTCAGATCTCAGGGGGCACCCGGGGCAGACTGCAGAGAGAAAGGCCCAATCCACATCAACGAAGAAAAAACATGTAACGCCTCGTGCTTCAAAGCTGTTCTTTGAGTCACTAAATGACGGCCGATAGTCCAAGAAAGCCCATTGAAAAACGGTTCGACGAATTGCTTTAAATTTCTTTGAAGGCCCGTCATTCGTTATACGCTTTTGGGCCGGTTCAGGAAATGCAAAATGGCCCGGTTTCTGAAATGTCCGGTTCTTTATATCATAATTCTAGTCAAGCTTTTCATCATAATTGAAGAATCTTTTGAGGATTCAACTTTCTTCCAATTGTTGGTCAAAATTCATACTCTTTAAGTCTATGGTACGCGTAGAAAGACCAATTATAATATGCATCACGTCACCCTCATTTCCTTCAACAATTTACCAAATACAAAACGACAAAAACAGAAACTTCAAGGCAACACCACTCCACCAAAACCCATGCCTAACCTCCATTTCGGAAATCAAGACTCTTTCCATGAAGCTTCCAATTAAAAACACCACCCGTTTCTCCAGATTCTTGATTGATAATTCCAGAACAACGTACAACCTTCATTGCATAAGGTAATTGTCATAAAAAGGAGGGGTTCTCTCTACTTAGAAATCATTGCTCTGGAAATATGAACAGACCATTTCTTCCACCCTACTTTCTTCCCGCAACTTTTGACAATTGAACACCTCCGTACAGACTTGAATACAAATCCTTATATAAACCCAATTCTCCATTCTTCATGTATTCAAACACAGAAACCTCTCCTACCTAAATAATCTAACCCCATCTGCAAACCCAATTGGGAAATCGCATTCTTTATTTCATTTGTTCAAGATGAGTTTCATGATACTTGAATTGATCCAATACTTCTTCTTGCAAATGGTTCTCAACAGGTTCGCCAGAATCTTGAAGTTTTTCTCCCGATGCAAGTTTTTCATCCACCGCCAACTTGGGTTTTCTCTAGAACACTCCAAGATTCAAGTTGAAAAGAAGAATCTTGATTCCAGATTGTCGAAATCACACCTTTCGTTCACCAACAGAATCATCGTTGAAGATGGGAGCGTTCGGAGAGATGAAATGGAATTGGTGATGGCGAATTTGGGGGTTTTTGGTCATCCTGAAGACCAGAAATTGCCAGAAGTGTTGACATCTGCAGATTTGTTCAATATTTTCGAAGAGGAAGAGCCAAAATTGGAGGAAGTGAAAGAAGCTTTTGATGTTTTTGATGAGAACAAAGATGGGTTTATTGATGCAAGGGAGGTGCAGAGAGTTCTTTGTGCAATAGGAATGAAGGAAAGGGCAGCCATGGAAGACTGTAAGAAGATGATCAGAGCGTTTGATGAGAACGCCGATGGTAGGATAGATTTTAGCGAGTTTGTGAAGTTTATGGAAAGCACTTGTTTTTGAAAACTCCAGAGTATTATCATTCGTTTGTTGTTTATATTCTTTTAGAGAAGGGTGTTATTGGTATATAAATGCTTTGAATTTATATTGAAATTGTATTTTGAGGTATGAATTCAAAGGATTATTTTCTGACACTTTTTTTGTTTGTATACTCGATCATGTTTGGTTAGAACAAAAACATCAACTTTAAAACAAGGTTTCAAATGACTCGAGACGCGGTCCGACGGCGGGCGAGGCTAAACCTTAAGGCTGAAGAGCCACGGTGACGCCATGATGTTTTCTAATGCATGATTTATAGCAGCAAATCGTTATATTATATATAATAATATTGAAGTTGTTATCATGCGGAACCAGTCTGTTTTCGTGAAGCCACCTTTTTACATGTGAATCTTCACAGTAAAAACATGGTGAAGGTAATTATAATACTAAACTTGCTATCATGTGGAACCGGCATGTTTTCGTGAGACCCATGAGACTACCTTTTTACATGTGAAACTTCACAGTAAAAACACGGTGAAGGTAACATTCACATTGTTTTTGCTGTGAAAGTTCGGATTTTTTTTACATTCACGATGTTTTGCTGTGAATTTTCAAGTTACAAAAACCATACATTAAGCCATGAGGTTATATGCTACATGACGTGAGACATAAATATTGAACCATGACGACTGATACGATGAACTTTTTAGAATAATGCTTTGAAATCAAATGCATGCCAAAAAGTTTACCATTAACACAAAACATTAGTCTTAAAAATCAAAAAAGATATTTGCATAGCCATGGAAGCATAAAAGATTATAGAGATGGTGGGCTGAGGCACATAAGGCCAGTGTGGGCTGGGCTGGGCTCACCTTCAGCTTGTTAAAATAAATACAAGTTAAAGGGTTGTATACCAAACTTTAACAGGATCATTAAGGATTAACAGGATCATAACAATAAAAATTGAGAATCTTATCCAATAAGATATATGGTAAGTATCAAAAATTTAACTCAAAGATGAAGCCGATGACTTTTATCCGGTTAACATTTATCGAGTCAAAAACCCTTACCAACAATCTTAGGGGTTGTTTACCCAAATGCATATCTGATGAAGTAAGAGTCATCACTCTCATTGACCTTGGGTAAGATTCTAATCCACAAAAACAACATTATATACAACAATTTACCCAATAAACACTAACCGGATAAAAGTCGTCACCCTCACTTACCAGATAAGATCTCGGTCTTTACCGTTGCTCTTATCAGATAAGCTTATCGGTCATTGTCATATTCGTCGGTAAGTTAAATAACCTGATAAGTGCTTACTAGGTAAACATTTAGTAAAGACGCCTTACTATGCATTTAGAATCAAGTGAGCGTGATCCATCCAAATTAGTTCAACCCCATACCCCACTTTATATTGTTTGTGAATATTTAAGGCTAAGGGGTGTTTGGAATAGCTGATAAAAACAACTTATTAACTTATTATGGTGTGACAACCGTAATAAGCATTTTGAGTGTTTGGATAAACAACTTATACCACTGTCAAACCGGTAATAAGAAGTTTTTGAAGAAGTTAAATCATTCTAACTTATAATAAGTTAATAAAAACTTTTGTAAAAAGTATAAGTTATTTCAAATAAGCAATTCCAAACACCCCCTAAACCCAAAATAATTTTTGTACATCCAATTGGAAAGTTAAATTAATTTACATACATAAATAAGTAAATAGATTAATTTGGGCCTAAAATTAGCCTCATTCTATGTTTGTTTGTTTGTTTTAAATTTCCCACCTATACAAAAGAAAAATCAAATAGAAAAGAGAGAACGCTGATTTATATAGTTTATATAATACAATATGTTTCAAGATATCTTTTAAAATTATCGATCAATCGTAGAAAACAGCTAAAATGGTTCAACACCAACTTAAAATACCCGAACATCCATATTTTCACGCTCGTGGCTACAAGCTTTTGATAGCTTATACATTTGTTCGTTTATTTGATTCTTGAAGAAAAATTTGTGTATTGAAAATTGTGCAATTTTCAAAACCATATATGGGTTTAGTCCACCATAAAAATACATACAAATATCTTCAAAAACAAATGTTAAACAAGAAGTCTGAATCATCATCAGAAAACTTACTTTGTTAGTAATAACATCATTGTTATATGTCTAGAAGTCTTCACATGATTTGTAAGTTTATAAATCGTACCACCATTATAAGAATCTTTATAGAATGGTTATGTGTATTTTCATGTGATTTTTTTTATCTGATATACACATGATACTAAAATCTCGTTACAATGTTGACTGATATTATGTTATAATTTATTATATTTACATTTTTTTTTCTTCTCTATTCAAAGTGACTATACCGATGTTTAATTTTATTACAGCTACACTATATAGTTTTCAAAATTTAATAATTTCAATTGTACAAATAAATATAAACATTTTAAGTTTCAATCAAAATCGTATCCACCAAAAACTTATTATGGCGTTTAATTTTATTACAACTTCAGATTAAATATTTTTAAAATAAGCGCAAAATAGAAAGAATCAATGTCTTAGTAACTTATTATGACAACAATAATCTATATCTATACTATCTTATAAAGCATTTGGCTAAAACTCTTAAAACTCTTAAAAACTCTTAAACTCGTTCATCCCTAAACGATTTCAACCCTATCCGATTTCATCCCATATCTAAATTCGTGTAACTAACTGCAGATAAAAACAATCAAATACAGGATAAACATCTCATTTTAAATAAAAAAAATCTAAAATATAATTAGTATAATCATTAAATTTTAATAGAATAATTAATTATTATCTTTATAAAATTTTATAATATTAAACCAAAAATAAATTATTTTATAATTAAACTTAAATAAAATTATAAAAAAAATATATTCTATATTATAAATCATTTGACAAAAAACTCTTAAAAACCACATTTTATGCGTAAAGTACTGTTTATTAATGCATATTACTTAAAACTCAAGATTACAAGTAAATTGTG